ATTAAAATAATTAATTTATTGTGGAAGATTAATTATTACTCTTTTAACGCTTCTTCCAGAAATAATAATAATAATAATAATAATAGTGTGCGCAAAAAAAAAAAAATAGATAAAATTAAATTTGAATTACTACTCAACGTTTAATCTTTTTTTTTTTTCTTTTCTTTTCCATCGAATCAATTATCAAACATGTTATTAATAATTAATTAATGTACCTGAATTTTTTGAATAATAATAATAATAATAATAATAATAATAATTTCACAGTTTCAATGCGAACAACGTTTAAATTAGTTTTTGTTTTTACAAAAAAATAGCAAATCAGCAAATTTTTATTTTCCTTATTTCTTTTCCTATTCCCATTTCCCCTTCCTCTCTCTCCCCCCTCCACTTTCTCCCCAAAAAAGTCTTTATTAAAAAAATATTTCTATATGGAAATACCAGTTAAACGAATTAGTAGTTTAAGGGCATTAACTTATTTTTTTTATTTATTTATTTAATTTATTTATAACAAAAAAGGGGGAAAATGTATTCATCAAAGTTATTGTTAACGGTTTATTTATTAATAACATTAATACAAATAAGTTCGTCGCGACCACAAATAAAAACAAAAGGAGAAATTGAATCGAATAAAAAAAATTGGGAAAATGGCAACACCGATATTTCTCTATTGAAAAAATTAGAAAAAAGTGGAATCGGAGTTAAAAGAAGTTTAACAGATGATAAAAACAAACAAGAAGAAGAAAAACAAACTAAAATTGAAATTATTGAATCTGTTAAAAATGATGATGGAAAAAAAGATGCCAAATCATTGGAAAATGGCGGCGATGATGATGATGATCAATCAACGACGAGAGTTAAAAAACAATCACCCAACAATGTATGTATCAAAGTAAGTTTTTTTTATTAAAAATGGTCTCTCTCTCTCTCTCTTACCTTTAATTACGTTTCTTATTAATTATTATCTTTATGTTATGGTTTCTTTATCTAATTAACTTATTATATCGGTTTTTCGGTTGAACAAAAAATTTTTCTTGGTTTTAATATTATTAAAAAGTAAATAAGTAAAATTGGTTTTTTTTTTTTCAGATTGGAGGATGTGGTAAAACTGCATGCGGACCCGTTGTATCTGCCAGAGGACCCATCGTTACGGATATGAGAGCAATGATGCACGGTATGAAACCAATGACGGTAATGAATGATATGCAAAACGCTGCCATGAAAGAAATGAATTCGGCCGGTAACACCATGGAACAATTTAGTCCAGTTCACGGTAGAACGGTTGACCTCATGAATTTATCTCCGGTTTCGGTTGGTGTTGCCACTCCGACGGCTTATACGGCTTCATCTGTTAGTCCTGCCGTCGAAAGCAATTTAGGATACGGTCATTCGTTTTTAAAACCTCAACCGGTACAAACCATTCCCGCATTACCCGTTGCCGTTATTTCTCAACACCAACCTCATTCTCTCGTTCATCCGTGGTTAATGCCTCACTTAATGCCACACATCATGCCCCACATCATGCCGCAATTGGTGTCTAATTTGATGCCGAGTATTCCCTCTTTTTTTCCTCACAGAATCGAACCGCATACCATTTCTGAAATGCCTCAAAATGAAATGAAACAACCACCGATGTCACCGATGCCACCGATGCCGCAATATTCTTATCATTCTCCGGACACCGCATTGATTTGTCAACCGGTTAGAAATCAACGTATCGACAGCTCTTACGATTACATTTACAAACCCGACATGGCTATGGACAAAAGCATGAACATTTCGGAGTCAGCAAAAAGAATGTCGAATTCGATCGATGAGGAAAACAAAATGAAAGAACATTTGAGAAAAGTAAACGAAATCAAGGAAGAAATAACGCAATTGAACAGAGCCGCCCAACGCATCGTCGACCAGCAAGAAAGGTTGACCGAAATGCAACAAAAACAACAACAACATTGGGGTTCTTCCTCCATGTCTTCTTCTATGCAAAACATGAATCGTCCAATTTCGTACATGGGTGGCGGATACTACTCGCAACCATCCATGCCCTGGGGTTACTCTCGTGCGAACATATTATCTTATCCCAACTCTAACGAAGATATTGACTTTTTCATGAATTTACTCAAAGCCGGTAAAAGCATTGGCACCATATCAAACACTCTTCAACCGATATTAAACAACGCCGGTGAAGTATTAAATGGTGTCCCAGGAACCACAAAAACCGCTAAGGAAACAACTGAAACATCCAACATGAGCGCAAGAGCAGAAAATCCAAAAGCCATATCACCACCATCACCACCACAACTACCCAAAACTCCTACTGCTACCGCCTAAAATCCCCCCTTAAAAATAATTTATTAATTGTAATTTAAATTATTTATCGAATAAAATAATAAATTGTAATTTAAAAAAAATAATAATGATAATAAGAATTATTTTAACCTTTTTTTTCCCTTCATTTTAAAACTTCGTATTTAAAAACTTTTTATTTTTTTTTCAAAGTTATATTTTAATAACTTATTAATTTAAAACTTATATATAATTAATCAAATTATTAATTTTAATAAATTACATAACATACATAAGTGTGTTTTAAAAAAAAAAAATTTAATAACTTTTTCAGAAATAATAATTTTTAAAACCGTGACAAACAAACAAACAAAAAAAAACATGAAAATATTTAAACGACTTAATATTATTATCGTTGTTTGTTGTTTGTTGTTGTTGTTTGTAAATTTTTTTTTTTTACGCACATTAATAATAATAATAATAATAATACGTTAAATAAACATTAAAATCTAATATTAATTTGTGTCGTCTATACTCAAAAGTGTTACTTAAATAAAATTTTTTTTTCACTTTGTTTGTTTATTATTGAAATTTAATATTTTAAAATTTATTAACTTTTGAAATGTTTTTTTTTTTTTTCTCGAAACAAACCGACAAAATTATTTTTACTCTCCCCCCTCTCCTCTGCCCTCCGCTCCCCTCCTCCCCCCACGAAAAAAAAGAAAGAAAAGTTTTTAAAAACTTTTAAATTGTTTTCCGATAAAATTTTCTTTATAAAATTTTATATATTAATGGATTTGTGAACTGTGAAAATTATTTATTATTATTATTATTATTTATAAATAAACACGTGATTACATTTTTTTTTCTTTTAAATGTAAATAAATAAATGAAATTATTTCAAAAGGGGAATACCCGAAAGTAAATAAATAAATAAATAAATAGAAATCTAACCTCAAAATCTCAATTAACTATTTTTTATTTATACGTCACATTCGTTTGGGTTTGGCGGAGAAGCGGGGGGGGGGTTCTAGAAGGTTAAAAAAGCATGCAGGTGCATACCTATTATATACGTACGTACCTTGAAAAGCATTGGCCCATTTCCCAATTTCTGACGAATGATTTACAAACATCTTTTGAATTTTTTTTCCATTTATTAACCATATTTTATTGTATCGAATTCACAATGAAAACTATTAATTTTATTTTTTTATCATCATCATCGTTGTTATTATTATTATGAATGACTTCATCATCATTATTATTAATATTATTATTATTATTATTATTAATATTCATAGCCGAAATTTTTTTCAAACATTTTTTTTTTTTATAAATTTTTTTTTAAATTTTATTTTTTTGTTTTTTTTCTTTTTCGATTTCGTTTTTTTTTTTTTTGAAAATTTTTTTTGAAAATAAAAAAAATTTTATTTACTTTTATTTTGTTGTTGTTGTTATTATTATTATTATCATCATCATATTTACGAGCGGGGAAAGGGGGAAGGGGGAAGGGGGAGGGAAAAGGAAACATTTAGTTTAAACCGAAGCAAAATAAATAAAATAAAAAAAAAGTCATCAAGTCTTTTTTTTATTTTCAATATTTTGCAACATTTGTAATGGCGGCGGTTTTTTATTTACATTTTTTTTTTTTTTGCCTCAACGGAAATATTTATTACTGATAATAGGGAGATAGTTGTTGATAAGGAGATAGTGGTTGATAACGAGATAGATAAAAAAAAAGTGAATTTGAATCGATATTAATTAGTATTCACACGATGGTGGATAACTGGATGAAATAGTTTTTTTTCTCTTTATCGTGTTAAATGCATTTAAAATTAAAATTCAGTAAAGAACTTTTTTTTCCCAATGGTGGGGGGGTGTAGGAGTGTACGGGGGGTCAACGTGACCCGAAAAAATCTTTGTCAAACTTTCTTCAACTGGACTAAATTTTTTTTTTTTTATCCAGGCTTTTATAAATGGTAATTTAACGTTGGCATTCTTTAATCTGGATATTTCAGTCGAATTTCGATTTTTTAAATAAAAATCAATATTATTATGGTCACTCTTAAACACGACAAGGCTCTTATTTGTCGGAGTTTTTAAGCATTTATTCCAGGTTTCTACCCCACGATTCCTTAGGGACAAATGATCGAATTTCGGTGGTGCTATTTATAGGATTTTTCGAAGAATCTGGGCCGTCCCACATAGTGTAATTTTCTGGATGGTTTTTCCTCTTTTTAAATTCTTCAAAATTTTTTTTAAATTTCCTTTTATTGAATGTGGTGGCATGGCTCCCAGTGATGCTCCCACGATGACCGGAATCGTTTCTGTTTTTGTTTCCCACACCCTGGCTATTTCAATTTTCAAATTTCTATATTTCAGCCTTTTGTCTGCTTCTTTGGCTGTCTGGTGTTTTTTTCTGCCGGCACGGATACCTCAATTAATTTACACCATTTTTCCGCATTATGCCTGAGGATGATATCCGGTTTGTTGGCTGGCACAGTTCTGTCAGTGTGGATTTGTTGATCATACATTTGATTATTATTATTATCATTATGATTATTATTATTATTATTATTATTATTATTATTATTATTATTAAACGAAGTAATTAAATCATCGCAACTTTTTTATTTTTCGTTATCGATAAGAAAAAAAAATTTTTTTTTTTAATTGATTATTTGATTAGGATTCAAGTGTGTGTGTGATGACGGAAACAATGAAAAAACGTGATAAGGGAAATCATATCAACAAAAAATTTTGTTTTTGTTAATAATGATAATAAAAAAAAAACTCTTATCACAATTATTACCGTGAAGGAAAAGGTAATTTTTTAAAAAATTGTTTTAAAAATTATTCGACAACGTTTACGTGAAAATTATTTTTTAAAAAATAAAAATTACATTGAAAAATTAACATAATTTTTTTTTATTAATTGATTTTATCATCACATTTATTATTTAATGCACATAATTACATTAATAATAATAATAATAATAATAATAATAATAATAATAGTAGTAGTAATTTTTAATAATAACACTGATAATTGATAATAATATATTATTACGTATAAAAAAAAAATTTATATAAAATTATAATTTTTTAAAAAATATTTTAAAACCGAAATACACAATTTAAAATTTTTTTAATTTCTGGTTATAATAATAACAATAATAATAATAATTGTTTGTGACCATTTTTTTTTAAAAAAGAAAAGAAAAAAATTTGAAATAATTTACGTTTCCATGATAAACGTTTTTGCACACACCACGTTCGTTCGTTCGTAATAAATATTTCTAGAAATTTCTACGGTTGTGTATTCCTTCCATTTTTTTATTATCATCATGTTTGTTTTGTTTTGGTAATAAATTCAAAGACCAAACCGTTCTGCATTTTCCAGTCGCATCTGGTTTCGTACCTTCAGGACATCTATTCGGCGGTTGAATTATGTGATAAGGTTCTTCGCTGATGACGTGAATTCCATTGATTTTTCCAGGTGATTTTTCACTCGATAAAACCACGGAAACGTTTAATAAAAAAAAAGAGAGAAAAGTAAAAAAAATAAAAGAAAAAAATTTAAATTCTTTTTTCTTCATTTTTGTATCACTTTGATTTCTTTTAATTAACTGATGTAAAAAATTAAAATTTCACTTTAATTATACTTTAGATAAAAGTAAGTAACATAGACTTCTCTTTACTGATTGATATATAGATTATAAAAAAAAAATGGCGGTAACAAAAAAGAAGGAAGGAAAAAAAAAAATATGGCAACATGTAAATTCTCACGTTTTAAATTTTCCTCTTTTCCTCTTCTTTTCCAACCCTACGAACGTGGTAATAGACGGCAAAAAGTCATTAACCGCATTCTAAATACGACTTAATATATATATTTTTTAAAATATATTGCATGATAATTTTTTTGGCGGGAAAAAACCCTCTCTTTTAAAAATTCAAATAATAAACATGGAAGAAATGTTTTTATTATTATTAATGTCATCATCATCATTATCATTATTACTTTTATTTTTTTTTTCTCCCCTTATTCACACTTTTTTTTTAACTCATAAAATACGTTTTTTTAAATGAAAACTTCTAGAAAAAATTTTTTTTTCCTTAAGATAACGCGTATGAGAAATGAAGATTGCCATTTATTTCAACCCTCATCTCTCTTACTCTCGTTTTTCCCTTTTTCTACTCGTGGACTTTACACTTCCGCCCTTTCTCTCCCCTTCCCCTCCCTTCCCCTTCTCCCCTACCCAACAATCTTATCATTATCATCATCGAATCCCAGATTTATGTAAAAAAAAAAAAAAACTTTAATTATACCACCCCTAAATTTAAATTAAACTCGCTATATTATATTTAAATTAATGTAAATATTTAAATAATAAAATTAATTAAATGAAGAAAAAAAAAATTTTTTTTATTTATTTAATAATAAGAAAATCATTTATTTATTTATTATCAATTAATAAGATTATTATTATTAATATCACCACCACAACCATCACTTTATTAAACATAACTTATTTATATTTTATAGAATATATTTTTTCAAGTAAAAAAAAATAATAATTAAAGTTATGCAACATTAAAACATTTAATTAAGCATAATAATAATAATAGTGTTAAACACAATTAACAACTGATAACATAATCAAAAAAACAATAAACAATAATAATAATATTAATAATTTTTTTATCATTTAAATTTACAATTATTTGCTTAACACATTAAATTTTTTCATTTAATAATCGTGGCAGTAGAAAAATAGTTTAAAATAATTTTTATTATTAATACTTATAAAATCGGCGAGAGTTTTTTATTATTATTACAAAACGATCGACATGTTTAAATAATAATAATAATAATAATAATAATAATAATATTTTATTTAATTAGTAATTAAAACATTTAATTAATAGTAAAAATTATGTATACATAACGATCGATTTTTTTTATTACGTCACATTTATTTAAAAAATTACTTGTTTATATTACGTAACATAAAAACAAAACATTAAAATGATTATGTTTTTATGTTTAATTCCAAACTTGTCTGCATCTCATACCTCCATCGTATTTTTTTCCAGGCGGACAAATTTTACCATATCTTTGCCTTTTATATTTATTTAAATTCAACGTAAATATTTTTCCGACATTTTCACCATCTGACGACGACGACGACGACGACGACATTTTATCATCGTACCTTAATTCCGATTTTTTTCTATCGTTTTTTATATATCTAATCAAACCGTATCGACTCGTACTTAAAATTTTAACCCTCTCATCGACTCCATTTAATTCCGATGAATTTATTTTTTTAATAGTGATAATAATAATTAATAAAATATTAATAAAAACGTACGAATTTATGAATTTCATTTTTTTTTTTTATTCGATTTACTTTATGAAATTTTTATGAAATTAACCGACTACAACGATAACTACAACGTGAAATGAACAAATGATTGTAAATAATAGAAATGACAATATTTATACGTTATTACACCTGTGGTTGTTGTTGTTGTTTTTGTCGTTGTTTGGGATAAAGAATGAAATAATTTTTATTTTATCATTTGACGTAATTTTATATTCTTCGAAAAAAAGAAAAGATTTCTTTTCTCCCCGAATAATAATAATAAAATGAACAAGTCATCCGTTGAAAAAAAAAAAAAATTTACTTCGTCAGTAATTAAAATTTTCGTAGAAAAATTTTATCGTTCGCGTCATTTGGCGCGAAAAAATTTTTTTTTTTTGCTCGCCAAATCAAACACTCGTGTTGTGTTTTTTTTTTTTTTTAAATAAATTTATTTGCGTAATAACGGTAAAAGCATAGAGTATTATTTCATAACAAACTGGTAGTAGGTAGTACTTACTCATTTATGATACCCGGTAGAAAATAAAAGAGAAATGCGTCAGATTTTATTCGAATTTGAAAAAAAAAAAAAAAACACGTTACGTGGTGAATGCGTTGTATCCTGGGAGAGGGAGTTCGATTTCAGTACAAACAAGAACAGACCTGTACCTACGAAAGAGGATAAGTGATTTGGAACCCTTTCGAGGTATTAGGGATGCGCGCGAACCTTGTTCGAGGGGATGAAATTGGGTACTTGATCCAATTGGAGAAAATGCAGAGCTCCGATGTGAAAGGAAGGCAGATGAACAATCAACGGAATTCGGGACCTGTTGGAAACTCGCAGACTCTGTGTAAGAGGCAGGAACGATGGTAACAGGTCGGGATTGTTTCTCGAAGGGTAAAAAGGGGAAGTACCGAGATCTTCTTCGCAAGTGTGAACCTGATCGTTCTGGCTCAGGAAAAGGCTCAGGAAATCTGAAATGCAGGTTGTACTTTCTCGAGTGCCTCCCTCCGGGAAAGGAGCAGGAGTTTTAGTTGGGTAGTGGTTTCGGCTGAGTCCCCCCACACTCTTCGTGCTACCCTGGGGGGGGGGGGTTAGTGCGAAATGCATTTTTCCTGGGTTAACAAAAAAAATGCGAAGTAAACAATTTATTTGAAATTACAAAAATCGAATGTTAATGTTTACAAATTTATAGAAGAGAGAAAGTGAGAGAGGGAGAGAAAGTGAGAGAGATAGAAAGTAAGATTTAAAAAGTGAATAATATATATCAATAATTTATCAGTTTTTATTTTTAACCATTAAAAAAATTAGTCAGAGAAACAAGAAAAAAAAAAAAAAACTTTATTAAAAATTCAAAACTTACAATAAAATTTGTTTATTTATTTTTTCATAATTATTATTATTATTACTATAAAATTATAATAATAAATAATTAATGTTTCTTAATAAATAAATAAATATTAAAATTATTGTTTTGTAGTTTTTTTTTGTCGTCCTCGTTCGTACGTAAATAAATAAAAAATTCGTCGTTGGAACATTGAAAAATTAATGAAAAAAATTTTTTTTTCTTTCCCCCAAAAAAAAACACATTTTTAAAATTAAAAAAAAAAAAAAAGTTCAAGTTGCGGGAGTGTAAAAAAAAAGAGACGCGTAAATAGAAAAAGAAGAAAAATTATTTAACGATTTTCTATCGTGGTGATTTTTTTTCTTTTTTTTTTTTAACGTGGAAGCAATAAATTTAAAAAAAAAAAAAAAAAGAAAATGAAAATGAAAATTGAGGTTTTTAAAATTAAAAAAAAAAAAAAAAAAAAAAAAACGTCTGTCAGGTACGTTACAGAGAAAGGAAAAGTGGGGAGGGGTTGGGGAAAGAGGGAAAGGAAGGAGAAGGGGAAAATACGTAAATTATTATTTTGTTTTCAAGGCAAAAAAATTAATTTTTTTAAAACGTGTTTTCAACCGCGTTTGTTTATTTGTTTGTTTGTTTCCCCCCTCCCACCTCATCTCATCTTTTCATCCTAATTAATAAAATAAATAATGAATAATGAATAAAATGGATCGATTTATCGATTAATTAATTAATAATAATAATAATAATTTTTTTTTTTTATTTACATATCGTTTTTTTTAAAAGAAAAAAATATTATTTGACGAAAGTAAATAAAAATTATTTTTATTTTATTTTATTTATTTAACGTTTCGATTTCAAATCGACAAAATCAAAAAAAAGGGAAAAAGGAAAACAAAAAAAGGAAAAAAAGAAAAACAAAAAAATGGAAAATAAGAAAACGAAAAAACCCTTTTCGATATTCAAAAAAAAAAAAAAAAACGGGGGAAACTGTAAATAAATATGAGACATATATATATATATATATATATATAATACGCATATAAAGTATTATTATTATTATTATTTTATACCAAGTTTTATATATATTGAATTTCAAAGGTTGAATCCAATTACTTTTGTTGAAAAGAGAGGAAATCCGAAGAAAATGGGGGGAGACAGTGAAGTGAGGAAAGTGTGCCGCCAACATTCTCTCATATATATATATATATATATATATATATATATATATATATATATATATATAAAGTCAAAAGATTTTCTTTTAAAGAAAGAAAGAAAATATAAAGAATTACGTTGTTAGAATAAGACAACAAAAGAAATGATTGAATAAATTGAATTAACAGTAATAAAAACTGACGGGTTTTCATCATCATCATCATCATTATAACCCATCGTGTCACACTACGTCACGTTATCATCATCATCATCAAATTGAGGTTATTATTTCGCAATCACTCAATAATAACAACTAAAAAAAAAAATTTAAATCGACGAAACGAATAAAAATCCTAATAAAAATTTTTACCCAGGCTCAAGGACTTTTTTTTAAATAATAATAATAATAATAAATGATATTTTTTCATCGTCATCATCATCATCATCGTCGATTTTTTTCAGGTAAATTAATCTTTTAAATTACCTGAACGTCATACAAAGTTGCGAGCTCTCGATCGATAAAAAATAATAATAATTAACAATTGAAAAACAAACTACTATTTCGCGTTTCTCTCTCTCTCCCTCTCTCTCTTTCTCTCATATTCAGCTCGTTAAAAAAAAAAAGTATTAAACTACGCGTCACTTAATTTTACAATGAATTTGAAAAGGTCATTAATGTAATAATAATAATAATAATAATAATTTCATTGGTTTGGTGGACTAACCAGTAACCCAATAATCATCCACCATAATCGACACCATCTTAAATATTTATACGAGTTTTCGTGTTAAAAAAAATAAAAAAATTTTTTTTTTATTTTCCGTTGGTCAGTTGTTAACGACTCGTTCGTCATAAACATTGTACATTCTAAATTGTTTTTAAACAAAGTGTTTGTTTGTTTGTTTATCATATTTCATTAATTATTTATATCACATTACAATTTTTGAAATTTGAAAAAAAAAAATTATTCTTTTAATTATTCACGTGTATGTTGTTGTAGTTTTACTGACATTTTTTTTTTTAATATAAAATAATAATAATAATATTAATAATTATACAAAAACAATTTATTATATATTATTATTATTATTATTTATTTATTTATTTATTATTATAATCGTTTTTCGTATGTAAAAATCGTAAAAAAAAATTCATTTAAAAAATAATAATTTTTTTTTTTTTGTTAAAATTATTAAATATTTCGAAACGTTTGTTGTTGTTGTTGTTTTTGTTGTTGTTATTGTTGTTGTTAGTTAAAACAATTTTTTTTTCGTGATGAATAAATTCTTGACTTGTAGATATTAATGATGTTTTTAATGGCAGATTTAAATTGATTATTCTCTGCTTTGACCTTTGAAGAGGCGAATAAAAAAAAAAAAAAAAATCTTAAGTAAAACTACATGGCTAAAATGCGTTATATCACGTGATTATGTTAACAACAATAAATGTTGTGAAAGAATATTTTTTTTTTTTTTCATTGTTCCTCGTTGTATTATGTTCTTCTTTAACCATTTTAAAAACTAATTTAACTTTTTAGTAAAAGTGTGTTTTTTGTTCTTTTCGTTAGTGTTAATTGCGTTTAAAAAAAAAAAAACTTTGAACCGAATAAAAGTTAATGATTGTTGAAAAAGTATTTTTTTTTCTTTCAATTTTTATTAAAATTAAAAAATAAATAATAATAATAATAATAATAAAAAGTAAAAGTATTGTTTGTATAAGTTATGAAGAAAAATTTATTATTATTATTTTTAACTGTGACTGTTTTCGTAGCAGTTATAACGCTACCGGAAGCAGAATGTAAAAGAGTTTATACGAGCAGTGGAAGCAGAAATAGAGGAAGTAGTAGCAGCAGTAGTTACGGTAGTAGTAGTAGCAGTCGTAGTAAAAGTAAACCGTCCAGTGGTGGATTTTTTTCTTTTTTCGGTGGTAGTAAATCGTCACCGAATACGAGATCGAAAACAGTACCCACGACGGCTCAAAGAAATTGGCAAACTGCTACAAATCATGCACAAAGTCACAGTTCGAATCAGAAAACAGGTTCATCGAATTCAGGTTGGGCTAATCCCTATTACAAGCCCTCGGCTCCAGCTGTACCTTCCGCACCAAAAACTACAAATTACGGATGGAAACCTGCATCTCAACCCAGTAGTAATGTTGGAAGTGCTCACCCCAGTTCCAGTGTAGGAGGATCGAAACCATATCCTTCGCAAACCGCGAATACCGGCGTTCAACAAAGTAGTTACAACGGATTTAAACCTGCTCCCAGTTTGCCTAATACCCATGCTACTAATTTACAAACTCCACAAACCAATTACGCTGCGAGTAAACCGGTATCAAGTGTACCCGTTCAAAACACCGGTTATCAACCTAGTTCTTACAATACCCATTCGGCTCCTTCGAGTGGTAGTTTCGGAGGATATCATCCGCCTTCTAATGTTCATAATAATTATTATCATCCATCTCAGGGATCTCATAACGTTCCACATCAAGCTCCTTCGTATCAACAATCTGGTTACCACAGTTCTTCATATCCGCAACAATCTTACTCCGGTCATCACCCCCCCCAAAATAATTTTGGCTATTCTCCCGCCGGTGGTGGCTACAGTGGTTCTCCGTCTTATCAAGGGAATAAATTTTACAGTGGCAATTCGGGACATTATGGATATTCGGGAGGTGGAAATTGGGGAGTACCCACTTACGGTACTAAAAAAAGTAGTTCGGGAACAGGAAAATTACTTACAGGTTTAGCAGTAGGAGCTGCGGGAGGTTATTTAACAAATTCGTTGATTAATAGCATTTCGAACCCTTGGAGATACAGCGGGCACGGTTACGGTTCCGGGTTTGGTTACGGCTCTAGTTTGGGTTACGGCGGTGTAGGATTAGGGTCCGGATTAGGAGTAGGATACGGTACTGAATACCTCTTATCGAAAGACCGGGATGAAAGTGCTTTCGAAAGAGGATACGTACGCGGATTTAAAGATAGACAAGAAGAAAACAATAAAGAAACTCAAAATTCTCCTGCACCTTCCCCAACTCCTGAAGACGATCCTACAAGTAAATGGATTCATTGCGTTGCTTACGATCCACAAACCCAACAAACATTGATTAATCCAAATTGTAGTTGTACAGTAACCACATCTGTTGATGATAGAACAGGGCAACCGATATCTGCTCATCATTGTACGACCCTAAATGGTTTAGTTCTGCGTCCGATTCCGATCGTAAACAATCAACCAGTTTTACCACCGTCTCCGGACATGTCTGCCAATTCTCAACCCAGCACCGGCGTAAACTCACCCGGCGTTGTACCTTCGTACGTAGATTCATACCAAGGTGGTAGTCAATACGGAGTAATCAACGGCCAAGCGTTTTCCATTCCAAAACCGAAAGATTCAAACGAAAATCAAAATTTACCTACTCCGAACATAGACGTTAGAATTTCCGAACCTCCGAGTGATAAAACTCCCGGAGAAACACCTTCCAGTGGTAAAACTCCCGATGAAACACCTTCCAGTGGTAAAACTCCTGATGAAACACCGCTAACCTCTGACGTAAAAGAAGAAACAAAAGAAAAGGAAAAAACTTCAGGTACCGTACCAAATTTGGAAGTTGTTGTTCCTACTTCTTCTCAAAACATAACAAACGTGGAAACAGATAAAGAAACAATTATGGGGGAACATTTAAACGTGTCAAGTACGGCAATTGTTAGTACGGAAAAAATAAATTCAGATACGATGGGAATAGAAAAAAAAATGGATGATGAAAAAAATGCCGATGAATTTTTTGGAAAACTACAAAAAATAGTCAACATGGGGAATTTTGTAGACTGGGGGTAAATCGAAAGGTAAATTATATTTTACTAAAAGAAAAAGGGTGGCGGCAAAACACCACCCCCAACAGCACCACCAACCTGTAATTACGTTAACAAAAATTTTCTTTTTTTTCACGTGGCAACCGCACATTTTTCACTTTTTTTTTTCTTTAACGCTACGTCAAAATAACGTTAAATCAAATTTTTTTTTTTATTCTGTTTGTTGTGTGTTTTAAAAAAAATTTTTTTTTTCTTTTCATATTTTCAGGTACGCTAAATAAATAATAATTTAAAGGTAAACAACAAAAAAAAAAATTCATCCGCCAAAGAAAAAAAATAAAATAAAATAAAAACATTTATTATTAATGTTAATAATTTTTAATTAATTAATTTTCTTTTTTTATTTAATTATAATAAAAATTTTATTATAAGTAAAAAAAACTTTTTATAAACAAAAAAAAAAAACTGAAAAAAAATTGAGTTTTTTTGTTTTTTTTTCCCAACTCCAAATTTATCATCATCATCATCATCACCATCATCATCATCATTATTATTATTATACATATTATTTATGGGAGTAAAAAATGAAAGGGGACGTAAAAATGAAATGTAATTTTTTTTTTCTCTCTCTTGTTGTTGTTTGTTTGTTTGTTTGCGGATTTTAAATTTAATTTATTAACATTTTTATTTTTTTATTTTTTTATTGTTTTCACGCATGAACAAAATCCGTTACATCCAACACGTACAAAACAAACAAACAAACACACACAAACACAAACTACCTTCTCTACCTTCCTGTAATTAAAATAATAATTAATTACGAGAAAAAAAAACGGAAAAAAATCAAAATTAACCATTATTATCCAAAAAAAAAGTTATCATTATCATTTGACAAAATTTATTTATTTATTTATTTTTTGAAAGCAGAAGACGAGTATTTATTTATTTATTATTTTAAAATAAAAATATAAAACATAAGAGAGAGGAAAAAAAAAACATTTCCTTACATACGTAGTAATCTTTTTATTCTCTCTCTCTTTCTCTCTCTCTCTCTCTTTAATTTTAATATCATTATTATTTTTTTTTTTAGTTAACGACTGAAAAGAGATCAAACAATTTTACGTGATTAAGCTTAAAAAGTTAAAAAGAAAAACTAATTATAATTTTTTTTGTTATAGAACATAACAATCCTCCTCCGAGTCATAGAATGTAACAACAACTGTGTCCAAATGGGATTACGATCCCTTTTTCCCTTTATTAATGCACACTTTAATTGGAAATTTAATTTTCCACTTTACTTTTCTTTTTTTTTTTTTATCTAAACCAAAATGGCGCAAAATTAACTCTCATTCAATACGTAATGCCTATGATAATAATAATAATAATTATTTCCGATATGAAATAATTTTTTACTTTTTTATTTAACGTCATCGTTTTCGTTTACCATTGAAAAATCGTTAAAATTTTTTTTTTTTCACGTTTAATTTTCACTTTTTACTCTCTCCTTCTCTCTCTCTTTCTCTCTTCATCTCTTTCCCTCTCTCTTTAAATTCCTCATAAAAAAAAATAACAATGATAACGCATAGGAAACAAGGAGGCATTGATGATGAAATTTTAAAGTTAAACAAATAAAAAAAATTTTTAGTTGATTTTGATTGATTTTGATTTTATTATCGATGCAAATTTTTTTTTTAAACCGGAAGAACAAAAAATAAATGACGTCATTGATTACGTTTTCATCAAAGGAAGGAAAAACTGGTTTTTCTCTCGTCATTCAATGATTTCATTTTCGGTTAAAAGGAAAAAGTAAACGCGGAAAAAATTTGGTTTTTTAAAATAAGTTTTTATTTCATTATTATTATTATTATAAATTCGGAGTAATGTAAAATAAATAATGAAAAAAAAAAAAGGAAAATTTGTGTGTTTTTTTTCTTTTTCTCTTTGTTTAAATTTAAATTAAAACGATTCCAGGTCAAATAAAAAAAAAAAAAAAACGGGTTTTGAGTAACAAAAATTTAATGCATTCATTATTTGAAGGTTAAAATCTCGACAAAGTTATTATTTAATTTCAAGTAATTTACATAATTTTTTTTTTTTTTTTTTTTTTTAAGTTGTCGTCCTGTCATGAATTATTTACAAACTTCCCCCCCCCCGTCCCCGTTTTTCATTTCACCTCTATATATATATTCTTTCGTCCTCTTTTTCCTTAACAAAAAAAAAAAAAATTTTTATCATCATCACTCTTGCTTGATAAGAAATTTTAAATAAATAATAAATATTTTTTTAAAAAAATTGGAATAGGTTAATAAAAAAAAAAAAAAAATCAATCGTTGGTTAAAATGTTATCGTAAATTTTGTTCATGACCTTTAACCTTCACATTTTTAATAAATTATTGTTTGTATGCTTGCTTATCGTAAATTATTATTATTATTTATACGAGTTAATTTTACTTGTTTTTATTTAGAATTTTTTTTTTTTTTGATTATTTCTCTTTTAAGAATTTTTTTTTTATTTTATTTACTTTTTGATGGAGTTTTTTTTTTATCATCTCCGATATAAAATGACGTCAATCAATACCGTTGAAATGATTTTTTTATTATTATTATTTTTTTGAATAAAAATCAAATTTTGATAATGTATTGATTTATCAAAGACGAAGAATGATCTTATTCACCAAGTCATTTTTATTTTTATTTCTTCATTCGATTGTTTTAAAAAAATAAAAAAAAATTTCAAAAACGCCCGATAATTTTAAGTTAAACAATTTTTAATACATAAAAGTACGACACACAGTCATCGTCGTAATTATTAATAAAATTGTTTGTTTACAAAAGAAAATTAAATCAATTCATCGGAAAAATTCGTGCGTGAGTGCGTGCGTGCGTGCGTGCTTTACGAAGATACACTTTGATGATAATAATAATAATGAAATGAATGATTCGACGAAAATAACAATAAAAAAAAAAAAAAATCTTCTGCGTGAAATTTTCACGGAGAAAAAAAGAAATAAATTTAAAAAATTGTTTTTCCCCCTTTTTACTTGTACGAGGAGTAAATTTTTTTCTTTTTCCACATTAAGTAATTAAAATTTTTTTTTTTATTTAATTTTCTTTCATTACCTCAACAGATTTTTTTTTTTTTCTAGAATATATTAATCAAATTGTAAACACGATATCATCATTTTCACACGTGTATATGTGCGTAACAGACAGGGAGGCACGATTAATAATAACAAAAAAAAAAAATATATTTAAAGGGTCAAAGAGTAAAAAATTTAAATTACAGTGGAGAGGCAGGGGGGAGGTAATTAATTAAATTTTTTTCCCTTTCTCCCATCCTCTCCCTCTCCTTCCCCCTTCCCTGTTTATGATTAAATGACACTTTCAGGTAAAACATTAATTTCCATAACGTAATTATAAAATTTTATATTCCTACGCAAAAAAAAAACTGAAAAATTTCACGTTGCAATCAATAATAATTAATTATAATAAAATTTATATAAATTTATCGCAAAAATAAATTAATCAAAAAAATTCAAATGCGATTCGTATAAAATAATATTTATTTATTTTTTTTCGTCTCTAACATTTATATTTTTTACACCCCCCCCTCTTTCGTTTTACGCACACGCACACACATTCGTTCCAGCTCGCATTCCAGCAGCCAAAAAAAAAAATCCATTTATTGAGTAACCAGCAAATAATATTATTTATTTTATAAAAAAAAAAAAAAAAATTATTTGAAATATTATTTATATACCATTTTTCTTTTATTTTAAACAATATTTATTATTGTTACCCTCGCAAACAAACGACAAACAACAAACGAAAATTTATTTAAATGTTTGTCGATTGTTTGACAATAAACAAAAAAAAAAACTAAAATTTTTTTTTCGACTTTTTTTTTTTTTTTTTTAATTTATTTTAAGTGCGTCGTCTGTTCTCTGATCATCTGAAGAATCCTCTCGAATTTTCTTTTTATCCTCCTTCCCCTCATCTTCTCCCCACCCTTTCCACCCCCAGTAACCTTTTTACATTTTAATAAGAATGTAAAAAAAAAACCACCGAAAAAAAAATTATATAAACGTAATTTTTATTTTTTATTTTCCACTGAAATAAGCCGGAGGATCACAAAAAAAAAAAAATTTTCCTTTCCTTCTCTGGAATGTTAATTACGAGGATTCGTTTAATAAAAAATACTCGGAAAATTTACGTAATATTATTTATTATTATTATTAAAAAATTCCCGTTGAAAATTTAAAAAAAAAAATTATTTGGTATTTTTATTTAACAAGATTATAACATTTTGTTTCTTACAAAAAATTTTCCTTCCCTTTTTTTTTTTTTTTATTAGGAAAAAAAAAGGAAAATTTTTTCGAGTGAAATTTCATTGACATAATTGCTTTTAGTCATGAACCTAACGTGACCTAAAAAAAAAAAAAAGAAAATTGCGTGACATAAATTTTGTGTCACCCGTCGCACAAAATAAAATAATTGATACGACCACCTTTTTTGTTATGAAAAGTTCACGACCTTACTACTCCCTTTAATTTTTTTTTTTAAACCCCTTTCATACATCATCATCCCTTTTTTTTTTTCTTTTATTAATATTTATGATGCGTCAATTTTTTATGACATTTTATTATTACTTTTTAAACAATATTTAATAACAAATTATCAAACACCCCCTCCCTGCCTTCCCCCTTCCCGTTTTTTCGAAAACGCGCCGTCATAAATTTTAAAATGTGCATAACAAATAAAAAAAAACAATTTTATTTATTTATTTATTAATTAATTAATTAATAACAACGATAAATGTTTTTTTTTTAATAATAAATTACCTGAAAATCGGATTATTAAATCCCGTTTACATACTAATAATAATAATAATAATAATAAATGTTTTTATTGCAACAATAAAATAATATTTTCTATGGCAAAACGATTGTTATGACATGCCATAATGACGTTTAATAAACAAAAAAATTATTTTCAACGAGAGAGAGAGAGATAACAACATAACAA